CTAACAAAGGTCTGCCACATAAGTTATGGCTATCAAGAAATGGTTATCGACTCTTTAAAGACCAGCAGCTAAAAGAAAAGTCTGGCTGGCCGTGGTATCACATTAGATTCTGATACGTATGCATACATAATCAGTCATCTAATAGGTATAGGTATGACTTTCACAACTGATAATTATCAAAGAAATCTATAAAATGAATAATGCTGATTGAGAAAACCATGTATCTAAAATTTCTCTCTTAGATAAATTTAGGAGTCTATATTTTATGTTTTCCTTGGTAAACACTCTAGGGAAATAAAAAACAGCAGTTTACATATACTTTACTCATTAATTGGTAACAATCTATTAATGAATTGAGGTTGGTTTTTAAATTTAAATACAAAAATTTACTTCACCACTTCCTTTCAAAACTAATAAAGGCATTTTTATAATAAAGGGCACTTATGCCATAATGTTAATAAAAATGGAAATAAAATTCAGATCACTTAAAAGGAGGGAGCAAACCATAAGACCCAGTACAGTGGCTGTAACTGAGCATCATGTTTGGTTTGGAATTCTTTACAAGAAAAAGGAAAAACAGTCAAGGATGCAGTTCCCATTATTAGAAAATAATTAAACATATCAGTTTTAATGGGAAGACAGGTTCTTTTGCCCCTGGTATTAAATTATAACCAAAACACTTCGTTGCACCTTAGGTAGAAGATCCAGACTAGGCAGTGACTTTAAAGAACAAATGCTAACTAGATAATCCTTCTAGTTTTCCATCAGCTTTTCTCTAACCTTAAGTTTCCAGAGTGTTTTTCTATTTAATAATCCTATCATTAGTGCCAAGTACCCAGAAAACACATGATGTTTGTTGTATGAATTCTTGAATTAAAAGAAATGTTGTTGCCAATCTTTATTTAGTATTCAATAATAAAGGAGGCAGAATGGGGCAATAGAGTCCTGGAGTAAGAGTTAGGGTACTTCACGTTCTAACCTCTACCTTATGTAAATGTGAATTCTGGGAAGACTTTTAGCATCTTTGGGTCTCAGTTTCCTCATCTATGAGGTTTAGACCAGTGCTTTTTAACCCTGGATTCACATTAGAATCACCTGGAGAGTTTAAAAAAACTACTGATATGTGAGATTTACCCTCACAAATTCTGATAAATCTGGTCTGGGATGAGATCTAGGCATCAATATGGTTTTAAAAGGTCCCAAGTGATTTAAATGAGCAGCCTATGGATGAGAACCACTGATTCAGATGTTTTCCAAGGTCCCCTCCAGGTCTAAAATGCTAAGAACTGATGAGATCCAATATTTAGAAATTTAATAACTGTTTAACAGTCTAATAAGGTAGCTGCAACTTTGAGGGTAGTTTTTTTTTATCATCTAAAAGGAGTAAAAATCCTGGGACATTTATTATTAAATGATAATTCATGGCAGGTCAAATACTCTAATATAGTCACAAATAATTCAGCCATAAAAGATGGACAAAATGCTTAAGGGACAATCTTAACTCAGTTTTCATTGTTGTGTGAGGTATGGGGGACAGAAGATAACTTGCTCATGGTAAGGAATCTAATAGGATTAGGAATTGCCCATTAAGGCAGGACCTCAGAAGGTCTTTAGTGTAGGGGGAATCAGATATAAACTCTCAGGTGGAGGAAGGAAACAGTCCCTAAGAAGTTATAGTCATAATCTGACCCCTGTATGATTTAGCAACCCAAATTCAGCTCATTTGGCAGATCTAAAAAACTCTCACAGTAGAAATTAACACAACATTATAAATCAATTATACTTCATAAAATAAATTAAAAAAATAAAAAGCCCTCAAATATGAATTTAGTTTAAGTTGTTTTATACTGGTAGTGATTCCAGGCACTTGGCAGAAGCAAATGGAAATCCTTCCCCAGAAAACATTTTCTTAGGCCTCAGAATTCTTATAAATAATTTTCCAAAGAAAACAAGTAGCTCCAGCTAAACTAGGCCTCAAGGAAACATGGCACTATGAGTGAGAACCAGCAGAAAAAAAATATGACAATAGGGACCTATCAAGACTTTAGTTACTGAAACTGTCAAACACAGAATATAAAACAACTATGCTTACTGTGTGTCTAAAGTAGTAACAGACAAACCTGAAAATGTCTAGAGGAAAAAGACTTTAAAATGTGATCTAGCAAATTCGAAAAAAAAAAATCCAGCTTTCAGAAAATAAATAATTTTTGAAAGAAAAACTCAATGGGTAAGTAGAAAAGTATATTAGACACAGATGAAGAGGTCAGAAGAAATTGTATAGAATGCAGCACAAACAGATATAAAGAGGAAAACAATCAAGGAAAGGTTAAGAGAAATGAAAGATAGAGTGAGAATGCATTAACACGTTTAATTGGAATTCTCAAATGAGAGTGAATGGAGTAGAGGCAATATTTTAAGATTATGGCTGAGAAATCTTTAGAACTGTTGAAAGGCACTAATGCACAGATTCAGTAAACTTAATGAATCCCAAGAAGAATTAAAAAAAGAAATCCATATCTCAACACATCATTAATAGAACTGAGGAACACTAAAGGCAGAATAAAAATATCCAGAAAGAAAAATATCACATTACTTAAAAAAAAAAAAAAAAAAAAGGCAGTTAGCTGATTTCTCTACAGCAATGAGAGCCAGGGACAGTTGAATGGCATTGTGAGTGGAAAGAGAATAACTCCTACCCTAGAATTCTACACTCAGAGAAAATATCTTTCAAGATTGAAAGTGAAAAATTGGGAATTCCCTGGTGATCCAGTGGTGAGGACTTGGTGCTTTCACTGCTGTGGCCTAGGTTCAGTCCCTGGTTGGGGAACTAAGATCCTGCAAGCTGTGTGGAGTGGCCAAAAAAAAAAAAAAGATTGAGAGTGAAAATAAAGACATCTTCAAACAAAAAAATAAATATGCAAATTCAAAAAACCTGAGTTTTCCATCAAGAAAATCTCAACAGAAGAAATAATTCTGGGGACTTCCCTGGTGGCACAGTCATTAAGACTCTATGCTCCTGATGCAGGGGGCCTGGGTTTGATTGCTGGTGATCCCACATGCATACCGCACACAACTAAGGAGCCCGCCTGCCCCAACTAAAGACCTGGTGCAACCAAATAAATAAATAAACAGTAAACTGCCAAAACTGGGACACTCAAAACTCAAAAAACAACTCTGGATTAAAAGAAAAAACTACATAGATAAAAGTTAAAAAAAAAAATTCTGAAGGGTTTATTTCAGACCAAAGGAAAGTGATATAAGATCTAGGATAAAACATAAATTGAAGAGCAAAGAGAATGGTAAATATGTGGGTAAATCTAAAACAAAAACAAAAAAACAAATATAAAAAACTGACTATAGAAACTATACCTTGTGGAGTTAAAAATATAGAATTAAAACTTATAACAAACATAATTAAAAGAAATAGTAAATGCATTAAAAAGATTTAAGGTCTTTGGGAAAGGATTATAAGAAAAAGAAAGGAGAAGTCACAAAACATTGAATAGACAGGATAAATAGGAAGCATGAAATATGATAAACTCAAATATATTTAAATTATTACATTAATTGTTAATGGATGAAATATTCCAGCTAGAGGACAAAGATTGTCAAACTGGACAATAAAACAAAACCAAACTATATGAGGTTTATAGGAAACATTTCTAAGATGTAAAGATATAGAAAGATTTAAAAGAGAAATGAGGGACTTCCCTGGTAGCACAGTGGTTAAGAATCCGCCTGCCAATGCAGGGGACACGGGTTCGATCCCTTGTCCAGGAAGATCCCACATGCCACGGAGCAACTAAGCCTGTGGGCCACAACTACTGAGCCTGCTCTCTAGAGCCCACGAGCCACAACTACTGAAACCTGCACACCCTAGAGGCCATGCTCCGCAACAAGAGAAGCCACTGCAATGAGAAGCCCGCACACCACAATGAAGAGTAGCCCTGCTTGCCACAACTAGAGAAAAGCCGTGCGCAACTAAGACCCAATGCAGCCAATAAATAATAAATAAACAAATAAAAGAGAAATGAAAAACAAAAACAAAACCCACTAACCAAGACAAAACTAATGTAGTACAGTAATAACAATTAGATTTTAGGACAAAAAGCATTAATAGCAATGAAACGGGACTTTCCCCATGTCCATCAGGAAGACACAAGATTGAATTTATATCTAATAACATAGCCTCAAAATGAAATAAAAATTGACAGAACTAAAAGGAGAAATATACATATTCATAATCATAGAGGGAGATTTAAAAATCCCTTTTTCAATAATTAATAAAACAAGGGAAAAGTCAGTACAGATATAGATAATTTGAACATGATTAACATATTTAATATACACATATAAAATTCTGTGTCCAGTAATTGCAGAATATATGTTCTTTTCAAGCACACCTAGAACATTTACAATCTGGCTATAGATTGGGCCAGAAAATGTCTCAACAAATTTCAAAGGACTGAAATAATATAGAATAATTTTTCTGACCACAGTGTAATTCAGGTAGAAATCATTCATAAAGAGATAGCTAGGGAAAGAATCCTTTCTGTTTGGAAATGAAGAAATACATTTGTAAAAAATTCAGGGGTCAAAGAACCCACATGGAAATTATAAAACATTTTGAGCTGAATAATAAAACACTAACACAAAAGTTTGGTCTCAGGAGAGTCTAGATAAAAGACTGACTTTGAATTAAACAGCTTATGGGTGGTAACTACAGATGAGTGGATAAATTCAACCAAAGAGTACCTGTATTGGGTTGGCCAAAAAGTTCATTCGGGTTTTCAACAGAAGGGCCAATAACAGAACACTAAGAGGCACCATCTTTTAAAAGGCAGGCAAATGAAGCAGTCAAGGATAATAAGAGGGGATGATCAGACAGTACCTCTAAGAGCTGAGTAAGAAAGGACCCTGCCCAGCCCCATGCTTCAGGGAGACTGATGCTTTGGAGTGTCTTCCTCAAGATTTTTTAAATTCACCTCCAGGTCCTGGGACTAAGGAAGGCACCCTGAGCCTGGATCTGGTCCCCACGTAGACTTGGTCGCCAGAATGCCTCTCTTGAGATTTTCAAGTCCCACTTTGGTGTTGGGACACGTGTCATTTCTCCCATCTGAGGTACTCTCTGACCCTCTAACCCACTCACCTACTCTTCATGCGGAACAAATGCTCTAAGGAGCTCTGGGTCTTGTGCCTATGGAATTTCCCTGGGTCTGAAGAGTGGACCATTTCTACTGGCCGAAGCAATATTTCCTTCACACAATAGTATGAAACTGAGCTGCCAGAATGGTGCTTTTAGGTGACTTCTCATATTGGACACAGAATGAATTCAGGGTTTTGGGTTACCAAACTATTGACCCTTGAGATTGAGTTGTATGTGTGGGTCTGTGCATTGGCTCCCACTGGTCTGTGTTCCAACTATGGGACTGTCTTTGGTCTGTAGACCACCAAGTTTGTGAGGATGGTGACATTGTTCTTAAATTCTGTCCACCTCCCACCACTGGCACCAGGGAGGTCCCCTTACCCTCTCTGCAGGTTCTGCACTGTGTGTCAGGACAGGCCCATCTAATCTGAGGCCTTTTAAGACTGCTGCTCTGCTATGCCAACTGGCTCTTCCAATCAATGTCCTCTCATTTCCAATTGACAGCGACCTTGTGCTCTCTAGGTATGGGCTTAAGCCATGCTGACGAAGGAATGGGCATTCCTTGCACAAATGAAACTATTCTTCTTGCTCCATCCGTGGGCCTCTTGACTATTCTTCCTGGGTGTGGCTAAGAGATCACAGTTTGGGAATGCAGTAATTACAGCCTAAAAAGTTCAAGAGAAGACACAGTTAGAATATGTGCTCTACGTTTATGCTAGAAAAGTCCAAATGCTAAATATAACCAGAAAATGAATTATTATTCACATTTTCCTGCATACTCTGTGTAAGATCTGCATTTTTGGTAATCATCAGTGAAGCAGAGTAACAACATTTGAGAGAGTTACTGGAAGCCAGTACTCACAGTGGCACAATGGATGCAGCATTATGAGTAAAGATGTAACCAGCATTAAATAAATGACATTAGGGAGCTGTAGAGGTAAGATCTACATAGTTCAATACAATAGTAACTACATTACTACCCTTTAATCACAGTGGGAGATATGAAATTAGCCAGGAATGGCACATTTGACAATAAAGAACATGAAAAGACTATATCCTTGGCCTGAGAAAGGGGTGCTGCCTGTATACTATAAAGAATCTTCACATGCACTGACTGGTCAATAAATGCACATCTTTTTCTTATCCATTATTCTAAATCTTCATTGATGAACTCTACCTTACATGGGACCATGAATTTTGTAATACATCTTAAAATCAAATTGTTTATATAGGGCCCAGCAAAAAAAAAAAAAAAAAAAAAAAAAAATTGCCCTGCAGGCATACCTGATCAGAGACTAGGAGAAACCAGAAACCATGAAAATGTTACCTGTATATAGAGTGCAAAGAGATCAAATAAAATAAGGAATGACAAATCCATTGGATTTGAGGGTTAGAAAACTACCAACACCATAGCCACTGGAGGTGGGGGAGAGAGAATACATTGCAGCAGGTTGAATAGTGAGTGATGTGAAAGCTGACAGTGACTATTTTTTGATGGAAACTGGCTATAAACAACAGTAGCTAGAAGTGAGGGAGCAAGTATTACATGGAGTATCAAAAAGAATGAGTGAAACCGACTGTACATCACTGAGTAAGTAAAAATTCTTGAGTACATAGTGATAGAGAGCAGGAAATGGAAACTCATTAACACCACTGGTAGGCAACTATAATACTAACTCTTTACTCTTAAAAAAAGGAAAAAAAAGAAAAAAAGTACCTGTAGACTAGAGAGATCTGGTGGGCAACATCTTAAGCAAGCGATCTCACTTAGCATCATTAATAGTGGGATAACTTGATACTGTGTCTCCATTGATACAATATGAAGTGCACAACATAAATCCATGAAATATCTCTGCCCAAACCCTAAATCTAATCAAGTCTTTAGACCTTATTTACAGGAAATACTGGAGACAGAGAGACAAGGTGTGATACTACAAAGAAGCAAATACAAAAATCTGTATGTGGGACATTCTACAAAACAATAGTCTGATATTTTCATAAACCCAATGTTGTGGAAAAAAAGAGGTGAACTTCTAGAAAAAGACACAGGAGATATAACCAAACACCATGGGGTCACCTCAATGAAATCCTGGTTAAACAACATTGACAACAATTACAACTTAGGGACAAGTAGAAAAACTTAAATACGGGCTAAACATTAGACAATGTTGTAGAGCTACTGTTATAGTTTTTAGTGTGATAATGATATTGTATCAATAATTATGTAGAAGAAAGTCCTTATTTTAAGAAAACTCATGTTGAAGTATTTCAAGGTAAAATGTCATATCTGCAGCTTACCTTAAAAAGGTTCAGCAAAGGGACTTCCCTGGTGGCGCAGTGGTTAAGAATCTTCCTGCCAATGCAGGAGTCACAGGTTCGAGCCCTGGTCCGGGAAGATCCCACATGCCACGGAGCAACTAAGCCACAACTGAGCCTGAGCTCTAGAGCCCGTGAGCCACAACTACTGAGCCCGTGTGCCACAACTACTGAAGCCCACATGCCTAGAGCCTGTGCTCTGCAACAAGAGAAGCCACCACAATGAGAAGCCCGTGCACTGCAATGGAGAGAAGCCCCCGCTCGCCCCAACTAGAGAAAGCTCGTGTACAGCAATGAAGACTGAATGCAGCCAAAAATAAATAAGCTAATTTAAAAAAAAAAGGTTCAGCAGAAACAACTAGATATATCTATAGACACAATGGAAAAAATACACCCATACACAAAAGGCAAAATGTTAAATGACTGAATCTAGGTCGTATGTATAGATGCTGTATCATTGTATCATTCTTTCAACTTCTTTTTTTTGCAAGTTTTCAAAATTAAAAGTGGGGGAAGGGGAGAGAGCCAGTAGAGCAAGACGATAAAGATGGCTATAATGGATCAACAGCCCAAAAAGAAAGATTAGCACTAAATAGGAGGTGTGCATTATTTCTGAGGTTAGAAGAGTTGTGGGTGAGTCGATAGAGACAAGTGGGTAAGTATGGGTGTGGGAAGGTAAGGGAATACAGGTGATCTCCATGAAGTACGAGGCAAGAGTAGGTAGGTGGGTGGCACGAAGAATGGTGAAGATCTGGAATAGTTGCTGTGGGGAATGGCAAAGGGAGCTGACCAGAGATGCACAAAGATTTTACAGGGTGCAGCTGAGGTGCTGCTAAGGACGTGAATGTCTAGAAACTATTCTTCATTTTTGCTTCTTATTAGCCCTTCGAGCTTATCTCCCTATCAGAGACCTGTTTACTCTTCTAGACCATGAGTTTCTGAGGTAAGAGCTTGACTTTCATTTTTGAATTCCCAGCACCTAGCATAGTGCCTGGCATGTAGTAAGCATTCAACAAATAATTACTGGATAAAATAGTGACAGTTTCACATTTACCTCTAAATTGTAAGTTTTTATTGACCTTTCTTCTTATCCCCAGCCCATAGATGCTGCTGGGTTAACTGATTCTCTGCCATGCTCCCAGAGCAACATAAATTTAATATCCGTTAAAAACTTCTATCATCGCATTTACTGCATTGTATTGAAATTGTCCGTTGTATTTCTGTCTTACCCAGTAGACTAAAGTCTTTTAAGATCAGTGGCGTTGTAGCTTTGTATCACAAACTCAGAACAGTAGTTGGCTTAATACATGGTAGACATTTTCTGATCTAAGCTGAACAATTAAGAAAGACTTTAAGTTTTGGTTTGCAAAGGCTTTATTTCTGCATGTATGTGTGATTTTAACAAATACTTTCAATAAGCAAAACTGACAATATTACATAAGTACAATCAATAATATAAGATAAAGTGCCAAATTATCTGAAATCAGAGTATTCTGGATAAAACACTGGGAAGAACAATGGCTTCCCCCCATATAAAAAGGCACAACAGCACCTCTTTTCTATTTGCTTCTCTTCAAGTGTTCAAAATGGTAAGAATGTTTTCCATGACACTGGAGGCAAGAGTTTCCAAACAGACTTACCTTTAAAAGCTCAGAAATTGGGTTCAGGTGACATTTTATGAGAACAATTCAGGAGACCAAGCACTTTTAGTTTCAGGCACTGAAGGTGACCAACCTTCTGAAAATGGAAGGCAACATTTGACTTCTGAATGGGAAGCAAGTCCCAAAACCGACTCCTTGAAAACCCAGCCTAACCCTGTACTGTTATAGTCAGGAGATTTCTGTTCTGCTGCTGTAAGCATATTCTTCAAATTTAACTTTTTCTTAATTAAGCATTTATCAGTTCTTTGTTTGACATATTTCAGTTTTTTTCTTGGTAACTCTTTTTGATCAGGAGAATTATAAGCAGCTGGGCATTTCCTTAGACCCATGGCCTGGAATCCAAGCATTTCTGAAGGAAATACTTTTTGTGTGGTAGGAGGGACCCATTCATCAACATCAGTTTCAAGGTACTTAGCAACAGGACAGTTGTTGGAGATCTCTGGTTGTGTAATACTAGATATAGTAGGGCTTCTGGATTTCTGGCTGGTTGTCTTTATATTTTTTGGACAGCTTGGGGTGGTTTGCTGTGCATCATTTACAGTGGAAATCCTTGTCTTTTTATAGTTAGCATCAAGGTCCAAATAAAAGGCAGGTAATTTTTTGAAAGCTCCTGTCATTCCATGAATTCTAGTTTGGTGGAATCCTATAACTGGAGTTGACTGTGAACATGGAACAAAGTCTTGGCTATCTTCAAAATCATATTCTGAATCTGACTGAAAATGAGGTGGAGAGGGACATGTTTTTAGATACAGAGAGGCAGATGTGTTTTGCAAGGATAATTTTTGTGAAGACTGGCTGGAGTTTTCAGAGAATGATCTCAATGAAAAATCAGATTCTGCGTGATGACTTTCTGCCAAAGACTTTCCCCACTGTAACAAAATATCCTGTGACTTTTTGGTCACTTCTGTTGCCATGTCCATTTCTTTAGGACTATCATCAAAGAGATCAGCAGAAGCATTGTAGCCACCTTCATGACCAGCAGAACAGTTTGCTGTTAGGTTATTACCAGTGTGCTCATAAGACATTTCTTTCAATGCGTTCGTACTTCTATTTGGCATACTGCAAAGAGCTTCTAAAGGATATGTGAGTTTCCTGCAAATTGTCAAACTGTCACCCTGGTTCTTTGGCCGCCTACAGTATTGTTTATTTTCTAAGTTGTGAAGGTTGGAAACATCATTATACCTCCTAGAACTCAAAGTTGTCAACTTTTCACTCATTTCGGATAGTGATTTTTCTCCACACCCATTAAAATATTTGCTATTGAGACAAGAATGGTCAGTCTCTGAAGTATCGTGCTTAAGTGAAATTTCAGCCTCATGTGGTGGAATTCTGGTAGACTTAAGAGTAACTGTTGTGCCTGAGCCTTTTGAAGATGGAAACAGAACTGACAGATAAACATTTGGTAGAAGATTTTCAGAAATGCCTCTTTCACTACTACTTATAGAGATAGTCTCTGCTGTGTTCTCTGGTTGTGACTCCTTATGAACGCTAGGACTTGGATTTGCTTCACAGTTGGAAAGGAAGTTATTTTTGCTGGAGTTTGCTTTGACTGTTGCTTGTGGTGATCTTAAGCCTATAGGTGGTGCATGCAAGCATCTAGTAGTTCTCTGTGGAGTCACGGATAACCTGCTGTGGTCTGCATGTAATTTACTGACGTCACTATCTAGATGACATTTCCTGCTACTGCCATCTGTCTGGGTTATAGCAATCTCACTTTCGATAGCTGCCAGAAATTTGTTTAGGCTTTCAGAGAGTGGAAGGTCAGCCCAGATCTCAGGGTCACAGTCCTGAGAACCCCCAGCTATCTCTTCAAGTCTGAGTGATGAAGGTGGACAACACACAGATCTCTCCTGAAAGCTAGCGGGGGTATCTACATCATGATACTGGTGACATGTTAGCTCATGCTGGGAATATATATTTTTAACTTCCACTGCACTGTGGAAGGATTTTGTATTACTTGGCTCAAGGGGCTCTTGCACTTTCAAAGGGAATAAATTAGAACCAGGAACTCCAATTTCATGATGATTGCTATGAACCGCACTTGGCTGATTAGCTTGTAAGCCAAGTTCTTCACCCAGCTTTTGTGCTGCACTCTTTTGATCCATATAAGAAACAGGGCTCCATAAACCCTGAATGGTATCGTGGCAGCTATTGGAACCAGTGGCCTCTGCAGAGGAGATGCACATTCTGTTCTGGTGAAGAGTATCAATGGCCTCGCTTTGTTCTGAAGCTGAAAAATCATCATCATCTGTTAGTTGTGAAACAACGGAAGTGAGTTCAAGTGATAGCTGCCAGAATCCTGAAAAATCATCGCCGCCATGGGACTCAAAACGACAAGAACTGCTGTCAGGGCCACATATGCTGCTGACATCGCTATTTGAATTTTCTAAAGCAAGTAGGTGGCTATTAGGTGCCTGGGAGCCACAGTGAAGTTTCCTGATATCAGAAAGCTGCAAAAGCCGATGGAAATAGTCAATGACAGTGAAGCCTACGACACCTGGGTCTGGTAGAACAATCTGGCAAGCTACTAGCGCTTTAACTTCTCTCTTGTGGTCTGAGCACTGCTCTAAGAGGTTACTGGAACCTGAACCTTGTCGATATTGGCTTTCAAAATTCTGTGAAAGAAGTAAATGAATTTAAATCAGAATAATATTTTCTTCCTTTGACTCAAATGTGAAACAGGGATTTAAAAGGTTAAAAACAGATGCAACTATAACCCCCACCCCTGTAATTTCAATTCCTCTAGCGTTATAGGGTTTAACGCTAGAGGAATTGAAATTATGGGGAAGTAAACCTTGGAGTAAAGAGACTTGTCTTTAAATTTTGGTTCTAAAATTTCCTAGTGTTGGGACTTTGGATAAGTTATTAGGAGCCTTAGTTTTCTCATTTATAAAATAAGGATAAAAATGCAGGATTACTGTATTAGCAATAACACACAAAAAAGTATAGTGCTTAGCAAATAGTAGTTGCTCAATAAATGGTAACTACTATTATATTTCTCATTAGCTTCCATAAGCTTTCAGTGTTTAAAGGAATGTTCTCACTTTAAAAAAAAAAAGAAGAAGAAAAAGAGCCATCTGAGATTTTAAGAAAGAAAACCTCTGTAGCTTCTGGTTTCATCTTCCCTTTGGGTTTTCTCACTGTTCAGCTGTGAAGTGCTGTATTCCGCTTTTTAAAACCCTGACTGCAGTGTAGGCAAAATACTGATTTGTTCCCTTTAGCATACAAGAGACAGAAAACGATTACTCCTTCAGTCAGCACATTCTCTGGACTTTTTCTATAGTCACTTTTATAATTATTTAAGATGATCCTTCCTAACCTATTCTTACAGTTATCAACACTCAGTTACTTTGCCTTCAAGGCTAGTTCCCTCTTTCTCCTTTTATAGATAAGATTAAAAAGCTAGAGTTGACGAAAGTTTTACTACAGAACCTGAACTGAATTTAGAGGGTACAGTAAATACCAAATATCAAAACAAAATATCTAACACTTGTGAATTTATAATAAATTTAGATTTTTTAAGTTCTGAATGCATTTGAATGGGGCTCTTCTAACTTTTGAAAGAGGAAGTTGTCATACATGGTATTTTAACAGATCACCTATAGCCTATTTTTACAAAGCTTAAAGTGCTTCCACAGGCTCTCACACTTACGACTCCTAAAAACTATTTAGAAAATTAAAATCATTTCATTACAATGGAAATGTTAGCATAATAATAAAAAGAAAGCTAGTCTCAATTACCGTCACTCCAAAAATAAAGCTTTGTCCAACAAAGCAAGTTTCAACTGCTTTAGTTAATAGGGTCTGAGTTGCATCACTGTCCAGTGTTTCTGGAATTTCATTACGATCTTGAATGTACCTTGATTGGAAAGAAAATAAAAAATGGGAAGAGATAAGCTTTGAAATTTTAACTCTCCACAAAGAAGACACAATTAGTTTGAAAATACAGCATGAAGCTTTTGAGTTACATATAGGGGGGGAAAAAGGGACTTTAAGAGCTACGCATTTTGTTCCCTCTAGGTTCTTATAGCCTAGAAAGACAAAAACAACTGATCAAGTGTGAATAAAGTAGATGCCTGCCTAGTAATCAGGCCCAGCAATTATTCTAAAAGTGTCACTGGGATCTTTAACCCTTCTCTCAAAGCAGAGGGGGAAGTCTTTCCTCGTCGCTGGCAATCCTGGCTGTGGTCACTTGGCCTTCCCTTTCTTCAAATCACTTTGCTCTCAACTATAAGGAGATGAACAGAGATTTCCTCTGTTAAGTATTAGGCGAGGAGGGCAGAAGACTGAAGGGGAGAAAAAGCTTCAGTTGCTTACATATATCCTTACATTCTCAGAACATCTTAACAGGTCAAGCTATATAGATGAACTTGCAATGCAAATGAAATAAATGACAAAATTCAATTTCTGATATGCAAATATTCCTTCAAATAGCTTCTTCCACCTCAAGAGACCTTAGCCACTTGATTTGAAAAATCCTTCAGTTTGAAACAATTTTACTTTCTTTTTTTCTTTTTTCTTTTTTGCAGTACGCGGGCCTCTCACCACTGTGGCTTCTCCCATCGCGGAGCACAGGCTCCGGACGCACAGGCCCAGCCGCTCCGCGGCACGTGGGATCCTCCCAGACCGGGGCACGAACCCGCGCCCCCTGCATCAGCAGGCGGACTCCCAACCACTGCGCCACCAGGGAAGCCCTACTTTCTTATTATATATTTCTCTAACTTCGATTAGAGTTTTGTAATTTAACAGTCTAATTACAGTTTGGTTGGAGCATGGTTTAACATCATCACAATAGGTATTAAGTAAATAAACATCTTTCTAATTCTCACTTGATTATCTTTTAAATGAACTGATGATCTGAGGTCGAGTGATCATCTGTTTTTACTAAATGCATATTACCTTAAAAACACATATCTTCAGGGGCTTCCCTGGTGGCGCAGTGGTTAAGAATCCGCCTGCCAATGCAGGGGACACGGGTTCGAGACCTGGTCCGGGAAGATCCCTCTACCGCGGAGCAACTAAGCCCGTGCGCCACAACCATTGAGCCTGCGCTCTAGAGCCCGCGAGCCACTGAAGCCCGCGCGCCACAACTACTGAATCCCGTGCGCCTAGAGCCTGTGCTCTGTAACAAGAGAGAAGCCACCACAGTGAGAAGCCCGCATGCTGCCACGAAGAGTAGCCCCCGCTCACCACAACTAGAGAAAGTCCGAGCAGCAACAAAGACCCTGCACAGCCAAAAATAAATAAAACAAAAAAACCAACAAAACCCCACATGTCTTCAAATTCTATTGATGTACTAAAGTAGTAGCTAGGAAAAAGAATGCTTTAAATATTCTTACCTGTGCAAACCAGTGGCTGTAAGACCAAAAAATGCATCTAAGCAGCTTCCAAATACAGTAATACCAAATAATTTGTTTGATTCTGCAACTTTTAAGGCAAGCTTATATCTGTAACTGGCATTTTCAGCTTCACCAGTAGAGCCACATTTTGGACAATTAGACCTGGAAAAGTGGAGGAAAAAAGCATAGAGACGTTCACTTAATTTTTTTAATATGCTGTAAAACAAATCTGGAAAAGTAAAGATTAAAAATAATATTTTATGTACAAAATGTACAAGTTACATCCTTGTTAAACGATTTCAGATCAACCTCTTTTGAATTTTCTCTATTCATAACAGTTACTTTACTGATTTAAATTAAGTAGCACCAAATTGATAGAAATTGAAGGAAAACTGTGTGTGCGTGTGTGGGGAGAGAGAGGGGTGTGGGGAGGGAGGGTGGCTCGTGGGTTGTTACTGGGTAGCTAAATCATCATTAACAAATGAGGCATATTATAGTCTGAGGTTGGGGGTGGGGGCAAACTAGATATAATGAAGCGAGCACCACACCAACAGAAGACCTGAGTCTATCTTCTGTTAAAAGGACAATGAATAATCTCGAAACATTTAATAAATATTTATACACAAAGTACCTAGTCATATTTTTCTCACTATTATAAGAATAACTTTACTTTCTTTAATTTAGTTCATTGAAATATGCTGAGAATTTATTAGATTACAAAAACTAGGTACAAAACATCTTGTTTAACTTGTTTGTAAGGCAATTATGCAATTATGGCCAAAGGCATTCTTTTTTTTGGGGGTGGGGTGGTGGTTCATATTTAATAGTGAAGATGGCCTAGGTCATGTTTAGACATTAGTTGATTTTCTTTTTTCAAGTTTGAATTCTATCAAACACTTTTTTTTTTTTTTTGCCAAAGACTTTCTTATCAAAAATTACTGTGTATGGGCTTCCCTGGTGGCACGGTGGTTAAGAATCCGCCTGCCAATGCAGGGGACACGGGTTCGACACCTGGTCTGGGAAGATCCCTCTACCGCGGAGCAACTAAGCCCATGTGCCACAACTACTGAGCCTGTGCTCTAGAGCCCGCGAGCCACAGCTACTGAAGCCCGCAGGCCTAGAGGCTGTGCTCTGCAACAAGAGAAGCCACCGCAGTGAGAAGCCCGTGCACTGCAACGAAGAGTAGCCCCCGCTCGCCACAACTAGAGAAAAGCCCACGCACAGCAATGAAGACCCAACACAGCCAAAAAAATAAATAAATAAATAAATTTATGAAAAAACAAAACAAAACTGCTGTGTGTCGAGTATAACACTACTGTTATGTACTAGCTGTCTGGTCTTGGGATAAATACTAAATCCCTTAAATTTAGATTTCCTCATCTGTGAAATCCAGGGTTGAAGAAGGATAAAATGAGACAAAGTATAAGAAAAGAAAGTAAAGAAAGAATCTAGTACAGATCTTGTCAAATTAATGTGTTTAGTCTGCTTCTTCCTCATAATTATATTAAATATTGTGATGGTTACCGTCACTTCTACTTATGCTTCCCCTCTTTTCTAGTTGTTTGCAATATCTTAGAACTCTGCTATCCATTTTTCACATTCTTAATTTAACAAATTGACCCCTTAAAACATCTTATGGTACTGGTTAATCCTAGAACTGTTTTTTCTTCATGTCGCTAATGATCTGGCTTAAAAATGTGAATAGAAAATGTTAGAGACAGTTGTATAAATTTGATTGCTGCCATACAGCCACTAGGGGGAGCCTGAATTCCATGGCTCACAAGGTGACTCTTTTGAACAAAGGTTAATCCTTCATATAAGAAGTTACTGGGGCTCCCCTGGTGGTGCAGTGGTTAAGAATCCGCCTGCCAATGCAGGGACACGGGTTCGAGCCCTGGTCCGGGAAGATCCCACATGCCGCGGAGCAACTAAGCCCGTGAGCCACGACTGCTTAGCCTGTGCTCTAGAGCCTGCAAACCACAACCACTGAGCCCGCATGCCACAACTACTGAAGCCTGTGTGCCTAGAGTCTGTGCTCCGCAACGAGAAGCCACCACAATGAGAAGCCCGTGTAGCCCCTGCTTGCTGCAACTAGAGAAAGCCCGTGCGCAGCAATGAAGACCCAACGCAGCCAAATAAATAAATAAATAAAAACAATAAATAAATTAAAAAAAGAAGTTACTGATTCATCATCATTACATCTGTGCTAATTATTAATTTGTTTTTCCACACTGATGATGGCTCTGTGCCAATCCATTCATATAATCTTAACCAAATTGGCTGGAGTTTGTGTTGTAGTCTGGCCATAGGAGGAAGTGAAGGTAATCGACTTACCGGGGCATAAAACCTCATTAGCACCAAGCTCTAGTGAAATGAATTAAGTGTTTTAAATATATATTAGAACTTCTTTAAAAATTATGTACTAATAACGCATTCAGATCTATGTGTAAAATTCTTAGCAAATCTTACAATTAATGTGCATCAGTGTTTTACAGTTTACAAATGTTTTCAACATACATTATTTCCTTCTGATACATAAACAAGGCATTTATTCCCATTCACAAACTGGGAAATTGGGGTGAATTTTTGCCCAATGTGACAAAGTTAGTGATTTTTATGACCAAATCCAAGGCTTTGGATTCCTTGCCTGGAGTTCTTTCTTGTATAACTATAAGAACAGTATGGTTAATAATGAACTATCTTACAAATACAGAGTATCAGTGATAGCCTAAGAAAGACTAGTATTAATGCATTATTAGCATTAATGCATATATACACTAAATTATTTATACTTTTATGTTATATATAAAATGAAGATATTTATGTAGTTTCCTTTAATCCTTTTGGGAATAAGTCTGAATTGAAATAAATGTTAGTATGGAGTAATACAGATCACAGCTTTTCAAACTTCAGTATGCATACCAATCACCTAGGGATCTTCTTAAAATGAAGATCCTGATTCACGAAGTCTGGGACAAGGCCCAAGATTCTGCATTTCTAACAAGCTCCCAGGTGATGCTGATGCAGCCGTTCCTCAGACCACATTTTGAGAAGCAAGGGTAGAGACAACACATTGAAATCACAGTCCTCTGATTTAACTTCTAGAGGCACCCCTATTTCCAAAATGTCATTTGTTATGGAATAGCAGTTTTCAAACATATTTGGTCTCAGGGACCCTTTATACTCCTAAAAATTATTGAGAATACCAAAGAGCTTTTGCTTATGTGGGTAATATCTATCTATATTTCCAATTGAAAATGAGAAGTTAAATGAAAGTGAGAATTCTAAAAAATATTTATTAATACCTTAAAAAATAGATCCATTGCATAAACAAAAAGAACATATTTTTACAAAAAATAACTATGTGTTCCAAAATAAATCAGTGAGAAGAGAGTAGCATTGCTTTATATTTTGCAAACCTGTTTAATGTCTGTCTTAATAGACAGCTGGATTCTCATACCTCCTTCTCTGCTCACTCTGCTGTGATATCACATGTCATGGAGCCTCTGGAAAATTCCACTATGCACTTTTACGAGAATAAGAGTGAAAAGGCAAATTATGCCTTAGAATTATTATGAAAAGTTTTGACCCCAAGAAGCCTCTGAAAGGATCTATCTAAAATAATACTTGTATTTGCTACCTTTTTTGTTTGATACCAGTTAAAACATTCTTTCATTCATTTTTCTAGGTTAGTGTACTTATATTTAGCCCCAAAGTAGAAAAATTGATGAGATTAGTAACCCTTTGAAAATCTGATGAAAGCAATGGACTCTCTTCTCTCCCAGAAAACTGCACACATAACCATAACACACAATATTTTACATATTTCACAGGTAAAGGTAATGAAAAATATTAAAAAATAACATAGGAAAAGAAAGTTCTTAGTGCAGAGACAGATTTCTAGACCAAAGGGATAATGGGTCCCGTTAAGTGAATCAGAAGGGCAATTTACATGTTTGGGCTGGCCGGATTGCTTATATGGACAAATGAGTCCCCTTTCTTGCTCATAATTTTTGGGAGTACATACACCTCCCCCATATATATATAAAATCATATATATATATATATATATATATATATATATGTTTGTTCCTTCATATGAGATTACCATATTCACATATACAAATGTGTACATATGTATATATACATATTCACATATATATGAATATGATATAACTTTTATACAGCTGACCCTTGAACAACACAGGTCTGAACTGCAACAGGTTCACTTATACATGGATCTTTTCAAGAGTAAATACTATATAGTACTATATATTCTGTGGTTGGTTGAATTCTTGGATGTGGAACTGTGCATATGGAGGAACCACAGGTATGGAGGACCTGCATAAATGGAGGAACTGCACATATGGAGGGCCAACTATAAGTTATACTGTGTAGAGGGTTGGCGCCCCGTGTTGTTCAAGGGTCAACTGTACATATAGTTTTTACATTTTTATTTCTTTATCTGTATCTTTATCTATGTCATGGAATCTTTTTTGAAAAGAAATCTAATTTGGAACCCTAATTCAAGGCTGAGAATGGAGCTGTTGTTGAAACTAAAGTGGGGCCCTAAAGCCCTACCTACTAGTCAGCACAATCCACTATTACTTCTCTAATCCTATCTCCTTCTAGAAGCATAGAACCCTAAGGCTCTGCAGAACAGTAATTTGAAAACCACCACTGCTCTAATCTTGGAGGTTAATAAGAGAAAAAAGTTAATCCCATAAACACAAAACGTATTATGGTGGTTGTCACTAAGGATTTGGGGTTCAATGAAAAACTTTTAGGGAGCAGGCTTTTTGCTCTTCACTGTCTCTAAAATCTTCTGTAAAGGCTACAGTGTGGAATTCCTCTGTCATAAACTTGCTGTGCTGCAGCAGTGAGGAATTTCTGTTTCCTGTGCTGGCTTACAACTGACTCCAGGTAAGAAAAAAGGAAAGCAGAGATAACAGTAGAAAAGATAAGCACTGGAAATTATGGGAATAGACTTTGTGTAGCACTGTTAATGTAATATCTGTAGAGGAGAGGCTATATTTTTGTGTACTACATTTCCACAGGCAAGGACAAAGTGCTGCGGATTTTATGTGACTAAATGGTCCAATTAGAGCTCAGTTTTCTGGGGTCATCTTAAACTCTGGGAAAGAGAGGGGGAGGTATCATTCTGGATACAAATTTCACTGCTAATTTAGAGGTAATATAGTAATTATGGATCTAGATAGCAGTCAGACTGTTTAGGCTTGAATATGTTTCTGCCACTAACTATCTGGCTTTGTGATTTGGGGCAAGTTATTTTACTTTTCTAAGCTTTAATTTTCTCCTTTGAAAGTTGGCATTAACAGTAGCATCGCCTCACAGGGCTGTTGTATTAAAAGATATAATGCTTACAAAGTTCCTAGTACCATGTGTAGCATATAGTAAACATTCATTAATGTTATCTATTGTTATTACCAGTCTAAAGAGGTAAAAATGGCAGTATTGTTCAACCTAAATGGTTGTTATAGATTATCTTTAAAAGAAATGACTTGGGGGAAAAAAACTCAGTTTTAAAAATGTTTCACATTTATATATTACTAATTATGTATCACACAATGTTTGAAGCATTAATTCACAACAATCCTATGAAGCAGATATTATTAGTTTCCCCATTTTGAGATCCAGATAATTTAAGTGACTTGCCCAAGGCTACACAGCTTTAAGTGGCAGGGTTGAGAGTTGAACCCAGGCAGTCTGGCTCCAGAGAACTGTGCTTTTTAATCACCAGGATATAATGCAATAGGTAAAGTATACTTGCCCAAGATCATACAACTATCAAGTGTCAGAGCCTATCTACAACGCTGTTGTGTTTTCCGAAGCTTGAAATCGTTCCATTTTACCACACTGCTTCTAAGAATAGGTCCTAAAGGAAAACAGTCCCTGGGTTTTAGTTTTTTCAGAAAATAGGTAGGAACCTGAAAATGAGTGAAGCTAAGTCTAGATCGAAGACAACCTGACACTATCACATTGTCATTTATTCATTCATTTAACATTTATTGTGTATTTTCTATGAACTAAACCATAGGCTGAATGCTGAGGATTTAATGATGAATAACACAAATAGGTTCTTTCTCTCAGTTTACAAATGAGTACTTGAAAGAATAGCTTAATAAATAGTGAAAACTACTGGAAGGATGACTTAGAGTCCAGGTGTGGGTTGGAACTGTCAATTCCTCCCCATACAATGCTAACTAGACAAAAAAGACTAGTTAAGCATATTGCTGGCCTACTACTCTACTTACCTACTACTAGGTACTTACTAGATATTCTTATTCTCACCCCTAGGAAGAGAGAATGTATTCTTAAGGAACTCCAACCCTAACCTCTCACCTGTACTCTATAAAGATCAGAGAAGAATCCTAGGCTCTCAGGTCTAGTTGGCCTGAATCTGGGCACCATAATAAAGTATTATGTGGCAAGCACAGGTGCTGAAGGATACAGAGATTACAATAACAAAGTCCCTGTTCTCAGGGAGTTTATTCATTTATTAAAAAATAATCTGGAGATTATGCAAAAATAAGCAAACAATGAACAAACAAAAAACCCCTACACTATTTCCAGGGATATCCCAGAAGTGTACTAAGTTTTTGCATCAGGCTCGTGACTTCCTCTCTGAGAAATTAGTTTTCTTCTCTGAAGCAGGTACTTAGTAAAGACTTGGAGATAATCTGAAACATCCCTCTAGTAATAGAGGATTACCAGCCAATTCTATTCCAGGATTTACAGAAGAACCAATCTAAGAGAATCTTAAGTCCTGATACAAATATAATCCTTACTTGCCTTTGAGCCATAGGAAATCTACAGTGTACACTTGCATTTTCTTTCTCACACTTTCAGGCTTTATTTTTACCTTTTGGAGACCAGGAGTATCCGAGAGAAGCACTTTTGACATGAAGGATATATAAAACTAGAATTCTGGAGAGCAAGAACTGAGGCAAGAAGAAATTTTCTTCTTCTATTCATGTGTCCTCACTGTGGTCTACAAAACAAAATAACCATGGGATGAATGGCAAATCTTTAATTGCATGTGTGTAATTCATTTCTTAGGAAAATCACTTAAACTTCACTGCAAAGTCAATAGATTTTTTTTTTGTAGTAAATGTTAGTGTATTGGAAAACTAATTTTCTTTTTCTGTTTAATTAAGAAAATAAGATTTAAAAGAGTAGTTCAAGCAAATATTCTGTTTTTGAATAAATGCTCCACCCCAGTAATTCAAGAAAGGTATCATTTAATTTCTTTCAACATCTTTATAAGAAGAGCTATATAGAACTTGTTTCCACTATTAATAGAAAGGAACTTAAATGAACTTACAGGAATGTTTAAAAGAAACGAAACTGGTGGGAAATAGTTCTTTTCAGCTGGAAAAAAAATCACTTCATTAGATTTCAGTATGTACATTTCTACACAGCTTGAAGAGGAAAAAAAGACAAGTTAGAGTGTACAGATAGAAAAATTAAAATGTTGCATGGTCAAATGAGAGTTCAAAGTGCTTTATGAGCCTTGTATAAAACACGTCAGAGAAGTAAAACAATAAAATAGCAGTTTGCCTCTTTTATGCTTTCCTTTTAAAAACTCAAATGTTGGTTTATCAAAAATTTTTAAATTGATTAGCTTATTTATAGCATAATATAAATGCTCTGAAATAAAAATCTCTGTACTTGTTCAAGATAAAGCTATACCAATAAATTTGTAAACACACGACAAAAACTTTCAATTTCTGCAAATGGGTGAAACTGTTTCTGAGACTGGCATCAGCAAATTTTGACAAAGTGTAAGTCATCAGTTTCAAAATCATAAAAGAATCTTTTAGGTATAGCTCCTCCTGAGGATGATCACAAATTTAGAAATGTGATTATGGAATGGGTATCTTAAAATGTTACTAATCCTGTCTACCAATCAAAATATTCCTGTGAAAATAAAATCTTGCCACCTAAGGCAGTAAGATGGAAACGTACAAAGATTATAGATAAATGGATTTACATAAATCACCAATCTATGTTATTAAAGTGGGCATAGAAAAAAAATCTAACTCTGCTTAATTCTTGTTGTTATCCTTGTTTTTGAACCCTTAGGTATACATGACTAATAAGGTTCTACCAAAAGCAGATATGTCTTCCTAGATTTGGCTGTCACGTTAGGCTACATGGCAATCTCTAAGGACAAGGTAGAGGAGGTGATACAGGATACAAGGAAAAGGCAGAAAGAAAAGGCCAGAGAACACTGCTATTTTTAGTGCTACTTACCTCAAGTTCCTTCTTGCCAATGCAACAAATGATGGAATGTATGTCAGCAAAGGCATCCTCCCTCTACACTTCCTCTAAAATCCAGTTTGGGGTAGGATGTAACAAGGTGGTACACCTGCCTATGAGCTAGGAGAGATAAAACAGGGCAAAACTCCCTCCTGAAAATGTCGTCTTTTACCTGATTAAAATCTTGCAGTTTAGAATGAAGCCTCAATTCCTCACAATGCCTGTCAGGCCCTAGCTCATCTAGCCCCACCTCCTTGACCTCACCTTGTACCACTCGCCCCCTCAATCACTGCACTTCAAGCCATGCTAGCCTTCTTTCTGCTCCTCAAACACACCAAATAATCTTTCTTAGGCTTCTGTGCTTACCTTTCTCTTTGTCTAAAATGCTCTTCCCTCAGTACTTCAAATAGCTGGCTCATTCTCATCCTTCAATCTTTAATGTTACCCCTTAGAGAGCCCCATTTCATCTCAGGTAAATACTTCCTTCCTCTTAGTTTCTATGATATCACCCATTTTACTCCTTCATGGTACTAATCGTGCTCGTGATATATGCAATCACGAAAATTATATATCAGATGATACATGCTTACTTGTTTTTGTTGGTTCTACCCCCATTAATCTTAAAGTTTCATGGAGACCTGGTCTATCATGTCACCAATAAATGAAAAACATATATAAGCAGAAATATTTGCGAATTAATTTCTAAATTAATTGTGCAAGCACTAACTGCTGTTATTTTTAAAGGAAGGAAGGTTAAATTGTCATTATTTAAGAGTTTATTGCCCTCTAGTGGAGAAATAAATAAATTTGAGAACTGAAATGAAAAAGGTCATTGAAGTATTTTTACTATTTGCGTTTCACTTGGTAAATTCCAGCAAATGGCAAAAAGACTTTCCATTCATTGGCTGGTGAAAAAAATGCAGTAAGATCCTTTTAGACAGTCACTATTAGTTATTCCTTTTGTTATTTTCATAGTATTTCCTTATGATTCTTGTCATCTAGTTTTGCCTCTCTCTCTACTGCCTGACTTAAAGTATGTTGAATTAATGTTTGATGGATAACTGAATGAAGCATCAGGAATGGGCAAATACTAAAGTTAGGAAAACATGATCACAGACTTAGGAACAATTCCATATGTGGTATCTATTGCAATTTATCTTTCTTCTTGATTTTATTGGGAAGGATGGTGATATTGCATTACATTGCTTTCAGTTCCATCACAGTCAACAAACCATATTCCAATTTAATAAGTCCAATATATTTACTTATTTATCAATCATTTATAGTGCAGCTGATAAATACCAGGTGATGGGAATAATATAAGAGATGGACAAAATATACAAGGTCCCTACCTGGTCACTAGACTTATAGTGACCAATAATCACACCAAAAAACTGAAATAGTGGAAAATTCTATAAAGAAAAAGTACAGAATACCATGAGAAAATACAACAAGGGGACTGATCTAGTCTTAGCTTGGCGGGGATGGGGAGAAAGGGAATAGTTAGGCACACAGATAACCTTCTTTTAAAAAGTACTTTCTCTCAGAGTTGTCAGATTAAAGGTGATTTTTATTTCCATTTTAAATATTTTCTAAATATTTCTTATTTAAATATTTTATAAATGTATTACTTTTTAAATTAGAAAAATCAATAAATATAATAAAAACCTTGGGTCCTCTTAATCTCTCACATATAGAAGTAGAAACAGGAGAATGAGATGGAGAGAGAGGGAGAAAAGTATAAATGTTAGGGAATTAATTAGGACCTCAGTTGGCTTTTGTTTTGACGGCCAGAGATTGCTCAAGTCAATGTCCAGGACTGAAGACTCTGATAGACTTATGCTTATGAAAATATGCTGGGTCCAGATGGCCATATTATAGTGCATTTTTAATTTAACATGGAACACTCTGGACTACTTGCTTTCTCTGTTTCTAGCCATGGGAGATGAACTATAATCCAAGATGCTTTACTAATTTATCACAAAAAATTACTGTCACAAGGAAAGAACTCATCTTAAGCCCATATCTTCTTTTGGATAAAACTAGATGTTAAAAAAAAACATATTAAGCTAAATTATAAACAAAGTTACTTGAAGAAGGGGCATTAGGTGAAGCAAATATTTAATGGAATCATGCTAACACAGGTGATGCACGCTTTTCACACTAGAGATGCTTTGGGTTCTCAAACTTTAGTGTGCATCAAAATGACCTGGAGGGACTGATAAACCACAGATTTATGGGCCCCAATGTCAGAGTCTGATTTCATTAAGTCTGGAATGAGGGCCTGAGAATTTGCACGTCTCACAAGTTTCCAAATAAGGCTTATGTTGCCTACACGTGAAAACTACTATTAAGGCTTTTCAGCTTAATTCCCTCATTACCAAGTTTTTAGAAGGTACCTTAATAGCCTATAAAAAATCACGCTCATATATGCACACACACTGATACAGTTTTTTCCTCCTTTGGACTAGATTAGAAAATCCAAAATAATTGGGCTAGACCAGAGAATCTAGAATAATTCTTCTTAAGTGTTAGATCATGGAGAAAAAATTTAATTAAGTATTTAATGTGAATTAGCCTATGGGGAGGGTGGTGAAGAGAAGTGTAAGATGTGGATTCTATTTTAATGAAGTTTATAACCTGGTTGGGCTCATAAATTCTTCTGAATGCTTTACAGTTCTCTCTCTTATACGATTATCTGATCCATTCAGAGAAATTAAATAACTACTTAAAGGTCAAGAAGCAGGTAGCATCAGGTCTGGAATTCATGCCTTCTGATGAGTAGCTCACCAGTCTTTCTAGTCCATTACATTGTTTGCTCAAGCTTCACACAAACTATTTGTATTTGTTTCAAGACTGTGACCAAAGGATGAAATCACTCCTTTAAAAAACTACTCCCCCTTCTAATGGCATACAGAAAAGGAGATATGACTAACTCTTCTCCCTTTCTTCATTCCTTCCCAAACTGTTCTTGCTTTGCAAGAAAATCTTTGTCACTTTGTTGCTCTCAGATTTCCCGTTTCACATTTTACAGGACAGAGTCCTCAGCTATGGAAAGGGTGGGTATTCTCAGTTGCTTTATTAAAACTAACTAATGGTCTCCTCGAAGGGTACATACTTTGTCTAATTTTCTAAAGGCAGTCATAACAAGTCCCTGAGAAATGATTTTCTGACGTTAACATGAAAAATCTGGAAAGGGGAGAGGCAGGCAGGAGATAAGAAAATTAAATAAGCAAAAACCAGACAAAACCTCTTTTATTTGGAGAAATACTGGTGAAAAATATTTTAAAAACATTAGCCAGGAAAATCTTAGTGAGTATAATGCACAGTTTGTCCACTGCATTTATGATAGGTAAAGTACTATTCTAGGGATGGGGAAGGGAACAGGGTTACAGATAGAAAAAACAGGCTCAGTGTTCAAAGAATTTATAATCTATTGGCTAAGACAGACAATGTAGAACTACCAACGAAGTGACACAAAGGTACACAATTATGTGTAAGTTCCAGACTTCCATATCTCAACTGCTTATCTGACAGCCAAATGTATTTGGATATCTCATAGTCATCTCAGGGCTTAATAGGCTAAAAAAAAAAAAATCTGAATTCTTAGTTTCCTTTCAAACCTCTTTAATAGTAATTTTCTCCATCTCAGTAAATGGCAGTACTCTCCAACTAGTAATTCAAGCCAGATACCCAGAAGTCAAGTCATCTTTCATTCCTTTCTTTCCCTCAAGTCCCACATCACATTCATCAGTCTTTTTTGATACCCTTGAGTCTATTTCCGCATCTAAAAACCATCATTCTGGGACTTCCCTGGTGGCACAGTGGTTAGGAATCCGCCTGCCAATGCAGGGGACACGGGTTCGAGCCCTGGCCCGGGAAGATCCCACATGCCGCAGAGCAACTAAGCCCGTGCGCCACAACTACTGAGCCTGCACTCTAGAGCCCGTGTGCCGCAACTGCTGAGCCCACGTGCCACAACTACTGAGGCCCGCATGTTCTTGGGTCCATGCTCCTCAACAAGAGAAGCCACTGCAATGAGAAGCCCGCGCACCGCAACAAAGAGTAGCCCCTGCTCGCCGCAACTAGAGAAAGCCCACGCGAAGCAACGAAGACCCAACGCAGCAAAATAAATAAATAAATAAATAAATAAATAAGAACCGTCATTCACTCTTCCCCTAATATATTCTACCACCAGCTTAATCCAAACCACCATCATCTCCTGCTTATGCTGCTGTATTAGAATCCTAACTGTGTGAACTGGTCCCTGACCATTTCTCCAGACTCATCTCATAAAACTGTTCTTTCTGAACATGATCCAGCCACACTGGTCTTTTTTTAGGTTCTTGAACACTAAGATGCCAAGCTCTTTCCTGCTTTAAGGTCTTGGCATAACCTATTCACTCTGGGATGTTCTTCCTTTCTTCTGTTGCATGGCTGTCTTTTAGGCCTCAATTTAACTGTCAACTCCTCAGAGAGGCCTTCTCAGACCAACCTAAATCAAACAAATTCCACTTTACTCTTCTTAAGTCCACCCATAAAAGGTTTCAGTTCCATTAGAACAGGAATCTCGGACTTCCCTGGTGGCATAGTGGTTAAAAATCCGCCTGCCAATGCAGGCGACATGGGTTCGATCCCTGGTCCGGGAAGATTCCACATGCTGCGGAGCAACTAAGCCCGTGCGCCACAACTACTGAGCCCGCGCACCTAGAGCCTGTGCTCCACAACAAGAGAAGCCACCGCAATACGGCCGTGCACTGCAACGAAGAGTAGCCCCCACTCCCCACAACTGGAGAAAGCCTGCGCGCAGCAACGAAGGCCCAATGCAACCAAAAATAAATAAATAAAAATAAAATAAAAAGAAAGAACAGGAATCTCACATCTTGGTCACCATTGTAATCCTAGTACCTAGCAGTTCTTGGAACAGAGAAGGGAGGCATTTAAAAACTATCTGTAGAATGAGCAACTAACTACTGGGTGCTTTGTGACCCAATCTTGCAGGGTTAGGAAAGGCTTCTTAACTTAGAAGCCTTCATAAACTGAGACCTAAGGAATGAGTAAGAATTAGCTGTGTTGGTGATGGGATTTAGAAGAGGTCTGGAGGTGAGGGATAATGGTGCATTTGAGGAACTCAGAAAGACAACAAGGGCCCTGTGAACCATGTTAAGTTTAGACTTAAACCTGAGGGCAAATAGGAGGGGCTGAAGGAAAGGTTTTTAATGGGGCATGCCCAGATCAGATTTGTGCTTTATCAGCCTCCAAGGTGGTGTCTGGATTGAAATGTAACAAGATTGAAAGAAGGAGAACCAGCTGGGAGGCTACTGGCATAGTTATGTAGTAGTCGTGCTGAACCAAAGTAATGACAGTAAAAGTGGCGAGAAGTGTATGGATCTGAGATATTCAAGAGGCTAATATGACTGGCTGGGTGTGAGAGATAAGAAAGGCACCTAGAAAACTTTCAAGTTTCCCAAGGGGGAGGGGGAATAGGGGAGAAAAGGATTGCGAGTTTGGGATTAGCAGAGGCAAACTATTATATATAGAATGGATAAACAACAAGGTCCTACTGTACAGCACAGGGAACGATATTCAATATCTTGTGATAATCCATAATGGAAAAGAACATGAAAAAGAATATATGCGTATAACTGAGTCACTGTGCTGTACAGAAGAAATCAACACAACATTGTAAATCAACTATACTTGAATAAAATTTAAAAAACAAAAGTAAACTTTCAAGTTTGTGGTTTGAGCACACTGCTCAGTTAAGCACTTTCCCTCTGGGTCGTCAAAGCAGTTTGGAAAAGCCAGCTGCCTACTTATCTCCGAGCACCTCAAAAGTCGCAAGTAGCACCTTTTCCTCCCTGTATGTCCGGTTCCAGACGCTCACCCGTGTCCACCTGATGGCACATACAAAAGCTAGCTGAGACTGCGACAGTACTGTCTCAAATTAAAATAATTGACCTTCTTACTCTTTTACGCTCATAACCGCCCTTTTCTAGAAGAGACTGACTCCTGAAAAAACAACATAGAATGCACTGAGTCCCACTCAGAACGACGTTAAGGGTCTCGTTAGGAGTCTCCGGCCCTTGCTCCCCGAGAACCTCCTCTCCCAGCTCCTCACCTGAGGCACAGGACGGGGATCCTTGCCCGGGCGAAGCACAGTGACGCAGACCCGCAAGACTCAGGGGTAAACGAGCGCCCTCCAATCGAATCTCCCGCGCTTCCTTCCGCCGGAAGTGACGCTTTGGCCGTCCTTCCTCACAGCCAATCAGAAGAAGGAGCCGCCGATGGTGGAGATTTAGCACAACAGCCTGTGAGCCTTTGCGGATGACCGTTTTTGTCAGACAGGGTTTGACGAAGGTTCTTTACCGACTGGGGGAGCAGTAGTACAGTCTGTAAAGTTGGTTTTCGGGTAGTGTTGAGCCAGCTGGGCGTAGGGACCCCAGGAAGGGGTGGGGGTGGGCGGGAGCACCCCTTGGACCGGGGTTCAGCGGGCTGATTGGAAGGAGAAGCGGACGTGGGTGCTGGGGGAGCCGCGAAGACAAAAGGGGCCTCTGCCGGCTGGGGATGGCACTGCCGGGGGGCGGGGGGAGGGGAAGGCGGGGCTTGAAGCGGTTGCGGGTTGCGGGAAGAAGAAAGGAGGCGTAACGTGGAAGAAGGGCCCGGGATCTAGTGGGATTCCCGGGCGACCTCTGTTGTCGGTGAGGGATGGCCTGTGTGGGCTACACGGAGGTTTGGGGTGACCCACCGACAGAGTACCATAGGAGGTGGTTAGGCTGACATCATGGAGGTGGGGTGCAAAGGAGCCACACCCAGCGGTCTGCGAAGCCAGTTCTCCACCGCCTCCTGAGTGACCTAGTGCAAGTCCCAGCACCTCTCGAGCCTCAGTTTCCTCAGCTATAAATGGGAATAGCAATCATACAGGACCCACAAAATAGGTGGGATGGTTGAGTTAGATGAGATGGTGTGCCACTAAGCCTAGTGCTGTAGTGAACCATCAATAAATTGTCATGGTACTGCCCACTGGGAAAAAAAGAAAAAGCACACAGTGAGAGTTGTGAGTTAACTTTTATTGGGGACAAAATGAGGACTAGAGCCCGAGAGACAGCATCTTAGATAGCTCTGCGGAGCTGCTCCAAAGAGGTAGGGGGGAAGGTCAGTGTTACATATGATTTTAGTGAAAGGGGGTATGCACAGTCAAGCACACATTTTGGCAGAGGCTCCTGCTAGTCACAAGGAGCAGATGTCACCATTGATGATCTTAGTGCTTTTCTAGATATGAGAAGATGCAAGAATTTGGGCTCATAAAACCTCCTGAAACTATATCTGAAAGGCCTGTCCTGCCAGTTTTTCCCAGAGCACAGAGTGCCTCATTCCTGATCACTCTGAACTCCCTTTAGGGTGTGTTGAAGGTCAAGGCTGCAGTGGCTAGTGACTTAATCCTTGTAGAGGCTGATGGCAAGTACCAATTTTTAGTTGGCTATACTATTATCGATATTATTACTATTATATGGACTTTGTGGAGGACAAGGCTGTGGCGATGGAATTAGAGTGCGACCGGAATAAAGGTGGACTCTAAAGGGGATGGTACAAGAGAGAAGTAAAATCTGGCGGCACCTTCTGGGACGGGGACGGGGTCGGTATGGCTTGGGCGACCCGGGTTTGCGCGGAGTTGCTGAGGGGCGGGGTGTGGCTTTGGGTTTCCCCCGGGGAGGAGGAGCTTGTCTGCCGCGGGCGGAGCTGCCGGCGGGCCCGGCTCGGGCTGCGCGCATCTGCCAGTCTCCTTTTTACCCTCCCTGCAGCAGCCAGCCTGAGCCATGGGGCGTCGCTCCCTCCTGCTCCTGCTCCTGCTCCTGGCTTTCCTGACTCCTGGGGCCGCTACACCCGTACCGCCGGCCCTGAGGGCCCTCAGCAGCCTGCACTTGTCAACCAGCTTCAGATCCCGTCCCGCTGTTGCCATGAAGTACTCGATTCACTACATCCAACAGAAGGTAAGGGGGAAGGGGTTTGGGGTGGCGGAGCGGGTGGCGAGGACTGGCTTCGTGGTTCCCAGGCACCAGAGCTCACCCGAAATTTCGGACCCCTAATGCCTAGGACTTGTCCGAACTTTGGCTTACACTTTACAGATGGTGCCCCCAGGTCCCCAGTCTGTTTAAATTCTGTCCTCCCATTACCAATGATTTATTATCAGTCCTGGCTCTACACTCTCTTCTGTGATTGGCCACAGCAGTGACTTTAACGCCTTCTGCTCCCAGAGCCTGCCCTAATGAAAACTCCATTGGCCTCCCGCCAAATTCAAATTATTTAATCCCAACTCTGGCACCTACTTCAAGGTGACAGTCATCCTTTGTCCCAAAGCAGCCCCTAAATTCAAACTTCCAATATCTTATTAGATAATATCAAATATTTATTCAACCTAAATTACCAGCCTGTTGTCTCATGTTCAGCTCAGAGTTGATTTTGTAGACCTTTTTAAATTTTTTTATTTTTTAAAAATACTTAATTATTTTATTTTTGGCTGCACTGAGTCTTCGTTGCTGCATGCGGGCTCTCTCTAGTGATGACGAGCAGGGGCTACTCTTTGTTGTGGTGCGCGGGCGTCTCATTTCGGTGGCTTCTCTTGTTGTGGAGCATGGGCTCTAGGTGCGCGGGCTTCAGTAGTTGTGGCACGTGGGCTCAGTAGTTGTGGCTCGCGGGCTCAGTAGTTGTGGCTTGCGGGCTCTAGAGCGCAGGCTCAGTAGTTGTGGCACACGGGCTTAGTTGCTTTGCGGCATGTGGGATCTTCCCGGACCAGGGCTCGAACCCGTCTCCCCTGCGTTGGCAGGCGGATTCTCAACCACTGCGCCACCAGGGAAGCCCCGTGTAGCCCTTTTATTAAGAGTTTTTAACCTTCCCTATTTTCCGTGAAACTGAACATATATGTAGCTCACGCTTGTAAAAGAAGTTGTAGGATTTTCTCAAGATTTGGGGGGGGGGGGGGGGGGTGAGCATCTCTATAGTTCTGAAGCCTGAGTTTAGGGGTTTAAGGTAGGCATAATGCCTTTGTGCTTGGCTGAAGCATGAGGTAGGTATTCCCTGAGAAGCCTGGATGAAGAAGTACATCCTGTGTGAAATGACAGGATCCCTTACAGTTCTGTATTTCTGGGAGCCTGTGAAAAGATAGGCAAAGATTTGGGAAAGGTTGGGATTAGAACTGCAAGAGTCTGAGGTTTGGCTTTAGGAGTCAAATAGACCAGGATTCCAATCTACTACCTCTGTGACCTTGGGAAGTTTCAAGTACTTCTCTGTGCCCAATTTCTAGATCTCCAGAGGATTTGGTGATGGTTAAATGAGAGCAGATCACATGTCCCTAGCAGAGTATCTGGCCTCAAGTAGGCACTTAGTAAACTCATGGTTACTGACCTATGAATTCTGAATAGGAGTTTGAGATAGAGGGATGGTGTGAACTTATAGAATAATTTGTAAGAAATTGTTTTTAACCCAGAAATTTAGAGATTATGAGGAAGAGAAAGCATTCTAGTTTTAGCAGGAGTACTAGGAAACAGGGGTCTTTTTCTTAGGCAACTCTCTAGGCTACAGTTTCCTCATTTGTAAATTGAGAGATCTGGACAAGGACCAGTGTGTTTCACATTTTACTGAGGAAAATTAAGGGCTCTTTATGGAGCTGTCTCAAACGGATGGGGAAGGCCCAAGTGGAATCCAAGTTAGGGTACCCCAGAACTCCCTCTCTCCCTGACCTCTTTCAGCCTGAACTTTATGTTTTTATCTGTTTTATATACTGGGATATTGCAGAGTTCCATAATTAAAGTGAAACTGAAGGGGAACTATTGGAATGAAGATCTCTACAATCCTTTCAGGAATGATGAGAGAGAACTATCAGCAGAAAAGTGGGGTAGGGAATGAAAGGGTAGAAGAGACTGAATGATCTCTTAGGTCCTAATTTATATTCCTTCATTGTGGATTCCTTTCTTGACCACTTCACTCTTTAGATATATAAGTTGAGGCCAGTTCTTTTTCCATTTTTGGTGATTTATAAGATCTGGCCTTAGCCATGTTTTGCCCTCTGGCTTATATTTAGTTCATATTTTAGGACACAGATTCTACAAATGTTTTATTACCATGATAATTTTCTTTACATCAACTCCAATTGAGTTTTATTTCATTTTTTTAAGAAAAACTTTCACATATGTATTTGTTGCATAATAATGGTTTTATAGTAATTGCCAACTTTTCTGGACCATAGGTTTTTAGTTGGGACTGAAAAGTATGTGTAAACTCAACTTTAATTTTTTTAGTTAGAGCACATGAAATACTTTTATGCCTTTTAATAATAAACAATTATTATTGTAACTAAGGTTTAGTTTTTTTATTTTTATTTTTATTTTTTTTTGTGGTATGCAGGCCTCTCACTGTTGTGGCCTCTCCCGTTGTGGAGCACAGGCTCCGGACGCGCAGGCTCAACGGCCATGGCTCACGGGCCCAGCCGCTCCGCGGCATGTGGGAACTTCCCGGCCCGGGGCATGAACCCGTGTCCCCTGCATTGGCAGGCGGACTCTCAACCCCTGCGCCACCAGGGAAGCCCCTAAGGTTTAGTTTTTATTCAAGGTTTAATTTTCATCAAACATTATAATAATTTTATTTATCTGTGGTTATATCTGTCCAGCTGACCAAGCGATTCCCAGCTGTCCTTATATGCACATAAGCTCCATGAATGGTCTTGGTAAAAAAGCTGAGCCCTCCTTCATAACTCTGATTACTTGCAGAATGAAGGGCCAAGTCCTTGGTATTGTTCCTCATTTCATAACCCCAGCTGGTCTTTCAGCTTCATATCCTGCCATAGGCCCCCGCCTCCCCGCGCCTTCCCTGTACATGTATATTTTAGCAACATAGAACATAGAATTGAAGTTGACTGTGTCAGAAATTGTGTCTGGAATACCATCCCTCTTCTCCGCTAGTTAAACTCATACCTCTATCCCAGCTGAAATGTCAACTTTCTTGACTTCAGTTGGTCTTTTTTCACATGTACTATTTTGTATGTGTCTCCTCAGCTAGATAGCACTGTCCAGTACCCAGAAGAGCCCATACAAATATAAAGTACAAAATAAATATTTGTTGAGGGAGTGAATGGATGACTATCCAATGAAAACCCAAACAAAGCAAAGTCTACCATTATTTAATTGACACAAATCATTTTTTATTTATTTTTCTTTTTATCTTTTAATTCTGTTCTTTACCAATTATATTTCCTCTTCTTTCAGCGTCTTCAAATGTTGTTGATTTAGTAGGAATATTTGATTTCTTTTATCCAAAATAACTGAATCAGGAGACCAGACAAAGGATAGCACATCACTCGGGCACATCAAGGCTCTGGGTACATGTGTGATGCCAGTGTTGTAAAAGGCTCCTTGGGATGCATGGCTTGTGGTTATGAGGTTTCCCTGCTCTTCATTACCCTCCTACTCCCACCCGAGCCCCTCTGACTGGAATGTGAATCCTGAGGGCATTTTACTATGTGATGTAGTGAGGAAGGAGAATGGGTCCTTTCAGGCTGTCATTTTCCTCACTGGTGAAAATAGAAATCAGTGTTTACTGAATTAGTCAGGGTTCTCTAGAGAAACAGAATCAATAGGATGTGTCCGTGTGTGTGTGTGTGTGTGTGTGTGTGTGTGTGTGTGTGTGTGTTTATGTATATCTTTCTCCGCAGGGAGAGATTGATTAATTTTAAGAACTTGGTTCATATGATTGTGGAGCCTTGTAAGTCCAAAATCTGCAGGGTTGGCCAATGGGCTGGAGACCCAGGGAAGAGTTGCAGTTTGAATCCAAAGGCAGTCAACTTGCATAAGTCCTTGCTCAGGAGAGGTCAGTCTTTTTTTTTTGGCCATATGCGGGCCTCTCACTTTTGTGGCCTCTCCCGTTGCAGAGCACAGGCTCCGGACGCGCAGGCTCTGGACACACAGGCTCAGCGGCCATGGCTCACAGGCCCAGCCGCTCTGTGGCATGTGGGATCTTCCCGGACCGGGGCACAAACCCGTGTCCCCTGCATCGGCAGGCAGACTCTCAACCACTGTGCCACCAGGGAAGCCCCAGTCTTTTTTACTATTTGGGCCTTCACCTGACTGGATGAGACCCACCCACGTTATGAAGGGTGAAGCTGCTATACTCGAAGTCCACTGATTTAAATGTTAATCCCATCCAAAAAACATCTTCACAGAAACATCTAGAATGTTTGACTATTCTGGGCACCATGGCTCAGCTGAGTTGACATGTAAAATTCACCATTACATCTACCAAGGTTGTTGTGAGGGTTAAATATGGTAGTTCAGGCATAGTGCCTGGAACATTAGGAAATTAAGGAACTTAATAGAGTAAATGCTGGTTCCTCCCCTGCTCTCTCTTAAAACCACACTTTCCGTAGTGCTATACCTTTCAGGTTGATCCAGATGCTGACAGTTGTGGTAATGTCTCTTCTAGAAACCTGGTGGTCAGTCATCTACACTCAACTATTCTTATTTAACTACTGAACAGTGTTTATGTGAGAGCTCTGCATCTTGGCCCAGCATTGAACTCATGGCTGCTGACTCCTGCAGGGCCTTCCCACAGCTCCTTCCTTATCTACTGTGAGACCATCACAGTGGACTAAGCTATTTTGATTTATGTATGTCCCTTACAGTTCTACTTTCAATTCCTTTTCTGGGTTTCCCTTTCTTGTCATGGTGGCCCTGATGTCTAGTAAAACGGAGCTGTGTCAGGCCTCTTGGAAGGGCCTATTGCTTTTTCTCCTCCTCTTCCTCTTTTCATTTTTCCCTTCTTCTCTTTTTCTTACTGGTTCATCTGTTGATGGCCTTCCCCTGAGGCCTGGAACATACCGTCACAAATATTATGTGAATTCTGAACTGATTTCTGTTTTTGCTCACAGAATCATTGTCAGAAGGGGTCATTGTAGTCCACCGCTTAGATATGATGAATTGACTGTGATCAAAATTATGGAGGG